TGGTCGACCCAGTTGCCACCCGCTATGAGTAGGCAGTTGGCAACAGTGAGAAGGAAAACCACCCGTTTAACAGGAAGAAGCCTACATATGTGAATAATCTTCAGAGCATGCGGTCATACTTTATTTTTTAAACTTTAAACTCCACTCTTCAGTCACAACATTACAACCCAGCTGCTTATTACTGTGTCAGCCCCACTTTCTGCCATCAAAAACTGCCGAGTCAACAACTCTAAAATCTGCCCTTTGTAATTGGGATCAAAGAGTTTTGAGGCTCATTAATCAGCCTTCAGCTCTTTGTGTTTCTTTGACTTTAGATGGATTGCATTGTCGTTCTGGAAACCACTGCACCGAGTGTTTGGTCTTCACTAATGTTTAGGTGCTGTCTAACTCCCCGGCAGATGATTGTTCGCTGTTATCTTTATCAGTCAGAGGTTTTAAAGGGACATGAAACGTGACACAAGGCTAATTTACACCACTGAGCCCTGCTCTCATAACCTGACATAGATGTAACTCATAACCATGTTTAGCACCATCTTCTGTCAGTGTGGAACATGACATCATGTGGTTGGTTGGTTGGTTGGTTGGGGCTGTTGGGATTAAATAATTTGCAGTGCCTCAATAATGCTATGCGTTTTATTAAGAGATTTGCATTCGTTTATGTTAGCTAACCAATGGCAGAACCAATAATACAGAGGAAAATAACGACACTAAAACGAAAAATCCCTGTAATGGGATCATTGTGGTGCTGCAACGATGAGTTGATGCCCCCTTTAATGGTGTGGCTGGTGTTTAGTGGGGGAGTCGTGTATTTTAGCCTGTTGGATGAACTTGCCCTTTAATTCTGCCAGTTTCCTTGCAGCAGACAGTGGCAGAGAGCCTGGGAGGTTTGACTGTGAGCTCACAGAGATACCCGTGGGTCTACAGTCCACCTCCTCTCCCCTTGGCACTCATTATTAATTAAACTTGTTGAAGTTTGAGGCTCACCAGTCTGCTGTGGCTGCGAGCAGAAATGTAAACCTCACATCAATCCCCCCACCGTGTCTCTGACAAGCCTCATTCTTAATTGAAAACGCCCGACTGACTGCAATTTCAAAAGTGGATGATTGATTGATCAAGCCCAGAAGCTAGACAGCGTCCCCTGCGAGGAAGGCCTTCAAATCCACAGCGAGGCTGAGCAGAGTTCATTTAGATACTTGGAAAGATGAATGAGCACAAGCAGCCTGGCAAATTGAATTCTCACTCGTAGGCAGGAATTTCTTAATTGTGCGTGACAAATTTCCCAAACAGAATCTGGAAAGTTTCATCAGCCCGTCCATTTGTCTACCCGTCTGCCCCTCTCCAGGCCTTTCGGTCCATTTCTGCCCTAGATCCGCTTGCATAGATGTTTAAAACTGGACAGAAGCTCATTTTATATGTTTATTATTCATTTTCTCACCACGGATTCCCCTTGGGCTTTTTCATAAAATGAAATGCATGCATCATCTCAACGATGGGGCTCGTGAGCGTCGTGCAGTAAAACACTCAACCCAGATCCTGAAGTCTTTCTCAGCTGCAGCAGCTGTTGATATCTACTATCAGACCCCGCTACTGCTTTGATAGCTGGAGGCTCTACCTCCCGTTCTACTTTTAAAAAAACAGAGGAAGCGCAAGTAAACCAACAGTCTGAGAGAGAAGAGCTCTACTGAGGTCTTTAAGATATGATGTGGTCTGATTATTCGATAACTTGTGCTTGTATGTAAGGAGACGGATTCAAGGACACGATTGAAATCAACTCTGTAGCGCTTTTGGGTTTTTAGTGGTTTGTGTTTGCATCATCATGTTGTATAAGAAAGGAGTTCTTGTTTTGGGGGGTTTCAGGTGGCTGAACATGGTCTGCTCTTTAGCATCATTCTTGTCTCTTCAAAAAAACGGAACAGGGGAAGTAGGGGTGGGCGATATATCGAATATACTCGATGTATCGCGAGGTGTTCCACGTGCTATCCGGTCGTTAAGTCTGACGTCACTAGCCGTGTCTGGGCCTAAACTCCGCTGCAGGTCCATATATCAAACGATCACTATGGCATTACTGAGAGTTGAAAAACTATCTAAAGTCTTTCATCTTTAATAAAATGATCAGCGTTCTGCTCTACCAGGTGTAACAATTGAGTTTAACATCCAGGCATCCATGAAAACGAAATTTATGACATTTAACGGAGTTAGAAATTAGCAGAAAGTTAGCGCGCTAGCTTCTATATAAATACAATATAGCATGTCCTGACTGCGGGGTTTTGGAAACAATTAAAACGTACAGCTCTGTTATCATTTCCAACATAAATGAAGACAGAAAACTAAACA